TCACATGTCTTGCTGCAGATGACTAACATCATCTTGGGTTAAGGAAGAATGTGAGATTTCAGCTCTATCTAGTAGGGACTGAAACATTGCTACCCATCTTGGAAGTCATACTAAGTACATCAATAATAATCAGTATGCTCTGTTAATCACAGTACTTTGAAACAAGTATGCATCTGAAGTTACCAGAGAACGTATCTGATGATGAGGTCAAATAGTCAAGAGAGGAAGAAGTCCATGGAAAAACTCTCTGAGCCAGAAAACCTTCATGGATGAAATCAGGCTTTTGATACACTTCATATGAGCACTGAAGCACAGCAAAGAACCTTCTGGAGAGCAAGAGCTCTACAGACACAGAAAACGGGATTTGTTCAGCAAATGCTCTGGTTTTGAGAAAGTGACTCAGTGGTAATTGTTTTGTCCACAAAGAACCTCAAGACCACATACAAGAAGAACAGGGCATATAGTTCCTCCACCAGCCCAGCTTGTCTGTCATGAAGGCTGCAAGAAGGTTCAGCCTACCAACCATAGACAACATACTGAAGTAACTACTGTAAGAAAATAATTCATGTTTGTATGATACTGCACAGAGAACAAAGAGAGATGAAGAAAGGTTTCTATTAAGCTCAAAATGAAGTAAAAAAAAAAAAAAGACACGTGAGGAATGTCACATTGAGTTATGAGAAAATTAAATATGGCTAGAACAAAGCAGTATGATCTACTCCCATCAGGTAACCCATTTGAGTACTGTTCTGCTTGAGAAGAAATGAAACTGCTTCAGACAGGTTTCTGGCATTAACAGGCAAAGTATTCCCAAGTAGGCCAGCAGTCACATACAGGAAGAACAGAACTCAGCCAACTGGTGAAGGGCTCTCCAGCACCACAGCACTCACTGTTAGGAAGCAGCTTAGGTCCCTGAGATGCTCTCCCTTCAGTGCCGGCCCTTATATGAGCCCAGAGTGGCTCTACCCTGGATCCACCCCTTGTGGTCAGATGGGGAGCACCATGTGCACACAATGGCATGTGTTCCCCTGGCCAGCGACACCCCTTCACCAGGTGTCCAGCCATCAGTTCAAGCCCTGACCTAACAGGTCCCCAACAAATCCTGAGTTCTGCTTTTTTAAAGAGGTGTACAAATTCAAACTCCTTAATATCTATCATTCCATTTGCCCTCCTCTCTGTATTTTCCATATTGGTAGCCCAGAATGTTTTATATTTTGAAGACCAAGCCTTTTTTAAGAAGTAATGCTCCTGTGAGCATTCTGCTGAATTTGCCAGCCTCTATTGGATAGAACTGATACTTTGTCTCATTCCAGATCATGACACAAGAAAAAAAAAAGAAAAAAAAAGAAGGATCAGATCTCAGGATATGCAGCAAGAAGCATCCCCCTTCACCAGAAGCAGCATCATTCCTGACGTGTCCAGAGAAGGGCATTGAAACCCGTGAGAGCTCTGGATCATAAATCTTGTAAGGAGCAGCTGAGGGAGCTGGGATTGTTTAGTCTGGAGAAGAGGAGGCTCAAGGGAAACCTCACTGCATCTACAACTTTGAAGGGAGGCTGTGATGAGGAGAGGTTTGGGCTCTTCTCCCAGGCAACAAACAGGACCCAGGGAAATGGCCACAAGTTGTACCAGAGGAAGTTTAGGTTAAAAATAAGGAAAAACTATTTCTCTCAGAGTGGTCAGGCACTGGAATGGCTGCCCAGGGAGGTGGTGGAGTCGCCATCCCTGGCAGTGTTCAAGAGGCGCCTGGATGAGGAGCTACGAGACATGGTTCAGTGCTTGTGGTAGCAATGGTGATGGGAGGACAGTTGGACTAGATGATCTTGCAGGTCCTTTCCAACCTTGTGATTCTATGATTCTGACACTAGACAGTGCTGTAGAAACAAGCCTCTGGTCAGAACTTGCCATCAACAAATTTACAAAGCATTTTTGTGGTGAATATTAATGAGACCACCATACTCTTGCTAATTACATAAACAAAAAACAACAAAAAATGGTTGGATTTCTACCATCTCTAAAAGGGACCTGCTTTAGTTGACAGCAGCAAGATAAGCTCTTGCCAGCAATGAAAAGCAATGACAGAATAAAATGAAGCTCTGAAGGAGGTCATCCTTCACTTACCCCATGCTAAATGAAATTACTTCCCAGAGATTGAGTTCATACCTACATTCTAGTGACCCAGGATGTTTGAGATACAGGAATGACTTGACACCAAGTGAGATGACAGCTTGAATCCTAGCGTTAGTTCTAAATCTTTACTCCATATTTCTCCTCCTCAATTTTTGTGCGCTGATTTTAAGAAGTGCCTTTCATCTCAAGAGGACATCAGATGATATCATAGAATGGTTTGGCTTAGAAGGGACCTTTCAGATCATCTAGTTCCAACTCCTCCAAGCAACATGTTCTAGTGTCTCACCACCTTCATACTAAAGAGCTTCCTAATATCTACCCTCTTAAAGCTTAAGGCCATTTCCCCTTGTCCTGTTGCTACATGACCTATAAAGTCCTTCTCCAGCTTTCCTATAGGACTCCTTCAGGTACTATAAGGTCTCCTTGAAGCCCCCTCTTCTCTAGGCTGAAGAGCCCCAGCTCAGTCTGTCTCCTTATAAGGGAGGTGCTCCAGTCCTTTACTATCTTTGTGGCCTTCCTCTGGACACGCTCCAACAGCTCCATGTCCTTCTCGTGCTGAGGCCTGCAGAACTGGATGTTGTACTCCAGGTGGGGTCTCACAAGAGCAAAAAGGCAGAATCATTCCCCTAGACTGCAATACATATTACTTTATAAGGAGAATTCTAGAATTCATGTTTGCTGTTTCTAACATTACATTCAAGCAGTGCAGTATCTCGGATTCCAGCTACAGAGAATGACAAGCACAACAAATACCTGCTTGGAACATGGAGCTCTCTCCAGCAAGCTGTTCGATGACTGTATGCACTAACAATGTTCAGGCTCCAAGTGGGAAGCCTAACACCATGACAAAGCAGCATTTAGCATTCTAGCAGCAGTATGCTAGAATACACAAAGAAACTGCTTGGAAGTGTAATGAGTTTGAAAGTGCACAAGAAAGTGGTCCCCAAGGAGTACTGCTCAGGACTAGAGTTCTGTTCACCCACAGCTCTCACACAGAAGGTAACAAAGTGGTTCTAAAGACCCTCAGATGACACAACTCCAACCAAACTAAAAACCTAATGCATTAACTAACACTGAACAGGTACAGCACAGTACTGCAGTTCACATCTTTGTGAAGGATCTAAGGACTTATTCCTCCAAGGTCAACTTCCAGGTCACCTCTCAGAATGGGAGGCTAACATTATGCTTGTCTGAAACAATCTCTCGGTAGTGGTATATCAGTGTAACTTGCAAGATAGTTATCTGTCTGCAAGCCTCTCTGCAAGGGCAGGCAGTGTTAGTTTCAGTATGCATTTTCAAGCTTTTCTTTCTGTTATTAAAGAATCAGAGCTTTAGCTGTATTTTGAAGAGATGAAATGATACACAGGCCTTTACAGCACCTTTTACATAACCCAAATAGTAGGTCAAATACAAAAAAAGGAACTGGAAACTCAATTCAAGCCAGCACAGGTAGGCTGTAGGGTTGAGTGGTGTTGGTGGGAGTCTAAGAAGTAACTTGGGTTACTTCAGTTGCATTAAAAGTTAAACTGAAAAAGGAATGAGGTATCACCATGCTTCTGTTGGTAGCCTTGCATGTGGTAGCAGGTTGGAGATTCATGATCCTTGAGGTCCATTCCAACCCTGGCCATTCTGTGAACTCTCCTGAATTGCTTTGTGATTCAGAAATTACCTCCCCTGGACTGAGAAACAGTTTAGTCTACTCTCTTTTCTACTGATTTGTACTCAAGGTACTACAAAGTGGGAACACCAGGCCTTGTGGTCAAGATCTTCAGAAATAATTGGTGCTGAAATATCCAATTTCTGATATGTCACCAATCAGTAGAGTCCTCGGCATGTTATGGAAGCGCTACTGAAATAATGTGACTGAGAAGCTGTGTAGAATACTGAAGACAGATGTTTGATGATAACTTCATTAGTATTACCACTATCTGCAGACTGTAGCCCATTCCCCGTAACTTGTTTAATGTGAAGTCTAAACTTTAATAGCTTTTTAAACACAATATATTAATACTCTAATCACTGGCTAATTTATGAAGATAAGAAACATATCTAAACACAGGTGCTTTTTTGTTCCAACTGCATTTGCACTAGACAGCTTATGTAGTAATCTTTTAAGAATAGCACAAAGACACTGGAGTGCTTTGGACTGGTCAAGATTTTGCCTTCAGCAGACCTCCTGTGATGCTGGAAATGTACACAAGCCCTGTGTACTGGAGACAAAATGCCTGAGGAACCATTTCAGAAACACCACTGACATACAAATGCTTGCTGTTACATCTGTGGAAGCAGGAATATTGTGGTTCAGCCTCATGGATACCTGACTTCACAGTGGCAATAACAAGGGGACAGAACCAGCAAGCAGCAGTGCTGTGACTGAACTTCCCTTAGACAGATTTGGCCTTTGCTCTTATTAATCTAACTGCCAGAGGGGGTTAATCCCTTCATGGATGCTTGGGAGTGCTTGGCAGTCAGAGCAGAGACAGCTCTGAGGCAATTCAGTAGGCAGAGAGAAACCTGCCCAGCTACAGGGCTTTTGCCAGATACCAGAAAAAGGATGCTGTGGGATTACCAAACGATTGATGCCACTTGCTGAAAATGGCATATAAGCACTGAGCTGTGCCACTGCACACGTGCAGTGTGCATCACACTTCAGGCAGCATTTAACTATTTCCAAAAGTGGCTGTGTGGGCAAACGAACTGCAAGGCACAGCAGGACCACGAGGTTCCTGGCAAGGGTAGGGGAACAGGAGGCAACATCCCAGCAAGAGATGTCAGCGAGTCGCCTTGGCCTTATAAGGGCCAGAAAGCAAGCCCAGCACACGCAGCCCCTTTCCCCAACGAGCTTCAAAGAAATCCGGACGTTTACTTACACCAGACGCTCCGTAAAGCTCCTTCGCGCTCCCCTACGAGATTACCCCGCCAACCCTTCGCTGGCAGCCGGCAGCCGCACCCCCCCCCCCCCCTCCCTCACGCCTGCCGGGTCGCGATAGCTTCGTCACAGCGCTCTCGCGAGGCGCTACCTCCATCCCCCCTTCCCCCTCCCCCCCCCCCCCCCCGGTCACGTGACGGCAGACGAGGCACCGCTCCACCTGTCAGTGAGGCGAGAGGAGGGGCGCGTGCGAGGCGGGTCCGCCCCGCCCCTCTTCTCGCGCTCCGCCACGCGCCCGTCCGTTGGCGCAGGCGGGCCAACGGTCGCTCCGCCCTCGTGAGGGAAAAGTCCCTGAGCGGGCGCTGGCTCTGCCGCGCCTTCCCCTCGGCTTTCCTGCGGCGGATGAAACTACCCGCCGTAACGCGAGGGCAGCGGCATCCGGGCACGGAGGACCTTCCTTTATCCGCCCTTCGGCGCGGGCGCTACCCACAGCCTAACGGCCCCTCAGGCGGCGGGTGGACCTCCTCCCTTCTCCCCGCGAGAAGAAACCATTATGATCCGGTGGTGCCAAAAAACCACGCCCCGTGGCCGAGCCACGAGAAGGCGGGCGGGCACGGCTCTGTCCGGCTCGTGCGTGAGGTCCCATTTTTTCAATGCCGTCTACGCCCCCAACTCGGAGCCCTCGTTACGCAACGCCACCCATGAACGCAGCGCACCC